CGTGCCCTGTTGCATGGAAAGATTGCCAGGTGGCGACAGTCGGAGCGTGTAGCATGGATCCTATAAAGACGCGAAGAAAAAGCCACATGAGGGCGCATGCTTCTTCTGCACCTCAGCGAGCGCCTTCACATCGCACGTTGTGCTTCCGAGTCATTGCATGTCGTTGCCATTGTTGGTGCAAAACCAGTGGTGATCACCACTTGTGCTGCGCATCTTCTCCTTCTAGGCCGTGCGCCTTGTGCACCAAGGCTTCGGGCAGTCTGCGGTGCACGTTTTCTTGGTGGCGCGCCAGTGCGCCAGACATGATTCCCCTCTGTCAAGTCCTGCATGACTTTTTGGTGACTCGCTGTCACAACGTAGGAAATCAAAAGCGGCTGCAAGTACCAGAGTAAAAATGTGCAGGTGAGTGCGAGTAGGGCCTTAGGGGGAGGGACTTGCCTCAGCAGTCGCGGGAGGCGCGCAGTACATTCACGCCCCGCTCGAACACAAAATTAAAGTCACGCTCGTTGCGTGGGTAGGTATGCGCAATGGTAAGATGATCGTCTCAGACCTGAAGATTGCAGCAGCCATGGGGAGCCCTGTGTGGCTCCGTGGCAACTATGTCTGGCACATCATTGCAATCCATGCTGGGGAGAAACGACTCTGGCTGCATCCCCGGCAGTCTTTTGCAGCATGGTGATCTTGGCCTGACAGCCGTCGTAATAGTCCCCAAGTACCAAGGACTGGGAAGCCGAGGCGCCAACACGGTCCTCCTCTGATGCCTTCAAGTCCTGATGCATTCCAGATTGAACCCACTCTGCAACATCAACACCACGGGGCCTTCTGGATTTCTTGCAGCTCTGCTGCAGAAGCCACTTCCTCATCAAAGCTCAAGATGCAGAGGATGCGCTAGGCTTGCAATGGCTTGCACTTGCATTGTTTGCGCGAGCGAGCATGCGTGCTACAAGTAGTGCCTGCCCGTGCACGTGCGCGCGCCTGCCTCTGCGTGCCTGCGTGCCTGCTGCCTGCGTGCATGTGTGCGTGCATGCGGGTTTGTGTGTCTGAGGGTTTGTGTTTGTGTTTGTGTTTGTGCTTGTGTTTGTTCTTGTGTTTGTGTTTGTCTGTGCGTGGGCTGTATCGGCGAGACTTCTCCCAGCTCGGTTCTCGACACAGCATGTGCCTGATGGATGAGGGCTATGTGAACCATACATGGCCAAAACATAAATCCAGAGTCCGAATAGCAAGGCGCGAAACTGATTGACATGAATCTTCTATGGGTTAGTGTGGACATTTTCAAGGGAGTTCGCAGTGGAAGGTGTCGTCGGCAAAAAGGAAGACTTGAATTGACTTGAAACTGTCACCGTATGCATGCCTGCCACTCTAATGCCCATGAAGAGCGCATGTGCGAAGAGCACCCTGTATTGTACCTATGCTGGCTGCTGCGATTGGATCACGCAGGGGCAAGCAGCATGCACAGATTTTTGTTATACTTGTTGGCGTGCCGGGCGACAAAGGTGGGCAGTGGGAAGGAGACCAGATCCTGGTTTTCTCATTCAACAAGCAGTAGTAGGAAGAAGTAGCAAGTACTGTAGTAGTAAGTAGTAGTAAGTAACTAGTAGCAAGTAAGCAAGTAAGCATTAAATTTCAGCAAGTAATCAAGTAAGCAAGCAAATAAGTATGTAAGTAAGGGAGTTAAGTAACGCACAGCTTGCTCCAGGACCAAATGGGACACCATCCCCTGTGAAGGTCGTGCAATTCGGGGCAAATTTCAATCCAATCCCGTGGCACTTGGGAAGTTCTCCGCATGAGAGTATTTGTGTCCCGGAAAGCGACTGGGACCGACAGAATAACGAGGCATGGTGACAGCAAGATGACTATTGAAACAGTCAAGAGAAGAGCCCTCGCGCCGCTCGCTCCCGCAAAAACAGACAGAACAGGGGAACCCCCTAACCGCGGATACAGAAGCCTTCGTTAAAGGGGCGCGGCTCAAAAAACTGCAGCCTTTCACGACGACTGTGTCGTTTCAGTGACCACTTGGCTTTGCGAGCCTCACGTAACCTGTTCATCAGCATCAACGCGCTACGAACACAATCCGTCCAAATGGTCAGTTGACATCCAGTCGTAACAGGCATGCTGTTCCTGCCGATGTGACCGTTGCCACCGTCACCACGCAATGCGAGGACTCCCCAAGACGCCTTAATTCCGCCCTAAACCTCACTAAAGCCCTTGTTCGCACTTGGAGTGACATCCCCACCGTACATGTGTGACCCACATGCAGCCCATGAATGGTCTGAAGGGTGGGGTATCAGTGGCCATTTCGAGGCAGGTGACTCTGCAGAGACGCAATGGCCCCAGCGAGTTCAAGGGTGAATGCCAGCACAGCAAAATTCCTGTTTTTCATCAAAACAAAGTGACATGACTCTCTGCCTGGTCTTTTCGGTCTTGGCCTCTCAGCCCTAAAGGATCTCTCAATGTGATCACTGCTTGGGACCTGGCATCACTGCTCAAAGGAGTCAGTGGCACTGGCGAAACCAGAGACGCAGGACCCGCCTCACTCCTTTTGTGGGATTGAGTGTCAAAGACGTGATATGCAGGGCGGTAAATCTGACAGCCGATGACCTTCGCAGAGCCCGCTTGTGAAGATGACCCTGGCCCACATCTGCACAAAGGGCCTTGCAGTGGTAGCTAGGCATGGCGTGCTGACAGAATGACTCCGTACTTTCCCGGTACCTCATGAAAATCGCTACACCGGCTACAGTCTCTATGCTTCTCTTGGCGTGAGGCCAGGAGGGCCAACAGCCCCAGCCGCGCCATGGCTGTGGCACACTTCGTTTGACGCTTCAAAGCAGCGGCCAGGCTTCAGAAAGTTATGAAACTCACAACGCCGCACCATGTCGTGGCTGGAAGCTGAGTTCTAGACATTTCTGGACTCTCGACTTTACTTTGGCATCGCCACGAAAGTGCAAACTCTAGTAAGCTTAGCTGACTTAGCTGAGGGTCGAGGACAGCTCCTCATGCATTGCCTTTGCGAAGCAGCAGCATAGACCTAGCCAAGTGAGTGACATTGCAGAACATGGCACGTGCTAGCATGCTGTTTCGAGGGATGCTCTCCTTCAAACTAAGCCTTCGAACTTCGAGAGGCACATCGAAGCTTGGTAAGTTGAGGAATCCGCCGATCCCCGCAAAGCTGGGGGTGAGCGATGGTGAGCGTCGGTGAGGCAATTTCCGCTCTCGCACAACTCGGACCCCCCCCGCCTGACCCCTACCAAATCCCAAGCCGGCTGCATGCCGCGTCCTACCCTCCAGCCCCCCCCCCTTCCCCATCGCTGCTCTGGGCAGACTCCTTTGCTGAAAACCACCAACGACCCAATACCGGTTCGCGTACCAAAACGGAAGACCTTTTCAGGGGCTTCGGACGGTCCAGCAATCCCCGTTTGCGTAGGAGCGTTCAGATAGCGTTGAGGCGTTTCCATGGAGACCTCAGGTATCCCAGAATGAGCCAAACTTGTTGTCTTAAGGATCAAAATGTTTGGGCACGGGCATCTGTGGCTCCCCCTAACCCCACACCCAAACGCCTACCCCCTACCCCCTTGTTACCCGAACCCCTGTCACCGCAAACCCGACGAGCCCACTGAGCCCACTGAGCCCACCCACCACCTCCAGAAGACGCCTGTGCGCATCTTTCGCGTCGGCCACAACAAGGCGGGATCCTGCCCAAACCCCTCCTTCAGGATGTAGAATCTAGAAACACCGATGGGATTTTCTCTTGGCTGTGTTCTCGCTGGAAACAGTGAGAAGCTCGTGCAGGCATAAATGTCATCAATGCTGTGCTGCAGAGGCATCTAGAATCTACGAGTAGCTGCCTTTCAAAAGTCTTAGCTACTCCCGCCGCATACCCGCTCTTGCTGGCATTGCATCACTCCTGCCGCGCATGGCATCTGGAAGTTGTTTTCGGGGCTAGCAGAAACGGCGTTATTTTCTTGGATTTCGGTGCCTAACCACTTGACCAGGCTTTGCTCAGAATAACACTGTAAGTTGCACCCTGTTTTTTTACTCTATGAGTCTAAGAAATATGGCTGCGCACCCAGCCCTCAAACTTGTGTGCATCCCATTGCCGCTGCGGTTTTCACTGCGCGCTCTGCGATGGGAGGTGAGAGGTACCCACAGTTACCCACGGCATGGCAGTGCCTGTGGCATTCCTCATGTTGCCTCATATTTCAACATTCGCAACGGCTGACTTTCGAATCAGCCCACGCTTCACTTACAATGACCATTGACCACTTAACGTGATACAAATATGGCACAATGATGTAACAAAGCTTTCCAATTCTAAAGGTACATCAAAAACTCCCAGATTACCAGAAAGTCCGCCTTGCAACTCTGGCAAGACACACCAAGTCGCCTTGGGCGACTTGCAAGTCTTGAAAAAACAAAACAATCAGCTGTTGATTGTTTTCGGAGGTCGGAGAGGCTGCCAGGCGCAGTACAACTCCGAAGCTCATACAGAGGGCTTGTCACCCGCAATGGCGCGGATCGCACATCGTCGGTGTGCAAGTTGTGCAAGCTGCTGGAAGACGTAATTGAAACGTAGTACTTTAAACGATGAGTGCGCGCATTTATTTTTGCGCAGCACGTGCAATATTGAGCCAGCAAAATTCTGGAAGGCTGCCTCAGCCGCGGGCTGGATTGCCAGCTTGTGCCTGCAATGTATATATATATATATATGCATATATAGACTTATATATATATATATATATACGTATATTCTATAAATGTGCAACGTGTGCAATGATGTGTGCTGTATGGTGACCCTACTTCCATGACCGCTACTAAGCAGGGGTCAGACTGAGAGACTGAGCATCCGACGACACATTGCGAACATGCACCCGCTGTCAGGCCTCATGGGGCTAGGCGGTCTTGTTGAATGCCGGTCTTGTTGAATGCCGAGTTCCCCTTCAGTAGCCAGATGGAACCCGCATTCAGCAATAACTCGAAAGGCACGGCAGAAATGGGTCACCCGCCTATGCTGTCGCGACCTGGGCCTTCAGGGCTTCCAGCTCCAGGGTTTGGGCCTGAGAGAGGATAATCATGTATATGCCGCCTGTGATCTTCTCTGGAAGTGGAGGCATCATCCGCCTGCAGTTGCTGTTCGAGATCCCGGATGACCTACAGACAAGGCATAGTTAGTATCAGCTGTGCCGCATCGCTTCCTGGAACAGGTGCGCACTTGTTGCATGCATGCATCTGAAATGCGTTCGTGCCAGAAAGAGTGCGCGCATGCAGCAACAAAGCAAGCGAGGACTGACCAAGCAGGTGTGCCGGCAAGCAGGCGTGCGCACAAAGAAGGGTCAAGGGCGCACACAAGCGAGCAGGTGCGCAACTATGCATGCATGCCTGATGTGCCTGCAAGCGTGCGCAACACGACAACGTACCGTATCTTGCCACAGCATCAATCAGCCTCCACCCGCCAGGTTTCAATTCAAACCGAATCCAGCCATCGACCACCCTCGTGCGCCCCCCCCCCCCCCCCCCCCCCCCCCCCCCCCCCCCCCCCCCCCCCCCCCCCCCCCCCCCCCCCCCTCGCATTGCCCCCACCCATCCGCCCAAAGCCACGGTTTCCTGCCAACCTTTCACTCCAGCCCCCTCCACCCACTCCCTGATGCATGAAAAACCTGCTGCTCTCCAGGCATCGTCTAGCTTTGCATTGCTACAGTAAACTGAAGCCTATACAGCTTGCGTGCCGTGCAATTGCAGGTACGGCAATGGAAGTGCATTGCCCAGGCTGCTGCTGACATGATAGCTGCAGATAGCTGCAGTTCTTGCACGTGTCCGCCCGCCTTCCGCAACACCTGTGCTTCAGCATCCTTGCCGCAGCCATACAATCCACAAACGCTGAAATCACCTGCCGTGATCTGACATGGCTTGGCAAAGGAAATGAAACGGGAGATTGTAGGTGCAAGCATGTTTACACAGAACTCCTGCCATTGAGAATCAAGTTGCTTCGCATGCTGCCGCTGAGGCTGCGTGCCTTGCAGGAGTGTGCAATGTCCCAGTCAGCTGGCAGAGAGCAAGCGCTTTTAAATCTGGGCATCCGGAATCAGTGATTGTCCATGTCATCCTCGTGCCTTGCCGTGCCTTGCTCTTTCTTCTTTAGGTTGCTGATTAGATTTTTTGGGGTGGGAGTGAGTCTGATGTCGAACCCTCGCGCGTCCTTGCGCGTCGCGCACCTCGGTGCGCGGATACACTTCATCTGCCACGCCTCCAGATCTGGTTTCGGGTATGGTGATGGCTTGGGGGGTGGTGCCGCGAATTCCACACCCCGTGTGTCCCCGACGCAGGACATCAATGGCCTTTGCTTTCTTTCATTCTTTCTTTCATTCTTTCTTTCATTCGTCTTTCTTTCTCTCTCTCTTTTCTTTCATTCTTTTCTAACACACACACACACACACGACACACACACACACACACACACTCTCCCTCTCTCGAATCGATCCGTTCCGTTCCTTCCTTAGTTCATATTTCACCAGTTGTGATTCGCACATGTTGCTCCACGCCCTCGGCGTGGTGGTGTTACATCTCTAGATCTACATGGCCGCACCCCAGAGAATCTCGAAGAGTATCATCGAAGTCCCATCAAATTGTAAGCTTAGTTTTACCGCGTGGATGTTCGAAGCCCTTCGAAGTACAACTCTTGGCCTTTTGATTTCGTTCGTGTATGTTTCCTCGCGTGCCGACACGTTTCATTCGTTGAGGAGACATTTGCAATCATTTGCCGCATGTTCGGCGTCAGCCACGTGATATGGCCAAACAGAAACGCGCGACACACCATCACAGCGTGCACCTACCAAACCTCTCAAGCACGCAAGCTCCTACGTCTGAGGGTGATGCAAAGCGAAGAGAAACACAACAAATAACAGACGGCGCTTCTGGCAGCACCCCATCCGTCAGACATGGGCAAATAGAGCTCACGGAAAAGGCGCTAAGCAGAGACGCCAGAGTCTGAGCCTTTGCCGACCCCAGGGCATGCCGGACGGGCATGAACAGCTCAGAGTGTTCCGAATGCATTCCAGATGGCAGCACACGCTACCACTGGACCACACCGACGTGCACCGACTCCAGGATGAGCTCTGCTTACCGTAGCGGGTCCACGCGGGCCAGCTGCCTGCAATTCAGCCCTTGCGCGATTTCTCCGGAGAGCGACCCGAGCGCAGAAAACCTGGACGCGTGAGGCAACTAGTTTGAGGTGTCAGACGTCGTGTGGAAGAAAGACCCTGGCAAGGACGACTGTCCTTCAGGGTTGAGAGGCCACCAATGCTTCACGAAAGTACCTTTGTGAGTAATCTGGAGCATTGAGCTTCTGCGCTCCACATCGGAAACCACAGAAAACTCAACAGTGTTTACAACTTCCTCAGTGATCGTCTCTCCGAAGATCAACAGCCCTCGGCCACTTTAAGCTCGTAAAAGCGGCGAATCATCGATGCTTTTGCTGTCAGCCGAAATCCGGATATGCAGTTCATCCTGCGTGCGACAGCTTTTGCTGTGCACGACAGCAGGGTGATGCTGAGGGCTCTTCCAGGCAAAGTGGGCGCCCGAAGTATATGGGGTGTGTATGTTTTCAATTCATTGTTTAGTTACTTCTCTACTCTCCCGCTGCTCGCCGATATACTCACGACATGGCGTGACATGGCTCTCAAGCTATCATGCACTTCGCGTTGTCAGCCCTTGCGCCCGTTGCGCCGCATCTGAGGTGCGGACTGAGCCGAACTGTCGAAGACTTCGCTGAGTCAAGGCAACCTTCAGAACTCCGGAAGGCAAAGTCCACATGTGCGCCACATTCTGAAAGCTCTACACAATGATACACAATGAATCAATTAAATAACTATATGTTTCCATGAGACATCCAGTTGCGCATGTCTTGGTATGTTTGTGTTACGAGGTTGTATTTTGCAAAATGACGGCACACTTGGCCTCGAAAGGGTTTGTGAGGGTAACAGCTGGTGGAGCCCTTGTGGAAGGAGGCACCTGAATTCCACTTCGTTTCAATGCACTCGGTGGGAAGTGGCGAGCCGGTGGCCGGGATGGTACAACATGTATGCAGATAATGGCATAGCGATTTCTGACATTTGATTCCAAGAGGTAGTCAGATGTAGAGATCACAGTCGGCTCTTTGTGCCTCTTGCACGCCGGAAGCTGATGTTTCCATCCTTGGCATGAGGCAAACATCCGCTGAGCGCCAATACATGAGCCTGCTGATGTGCTACCACTGCATCTGCCACCATCATTCACCATCTACATCCGTCTACAATCGATCTTCACCGAGCTTCCTGCTCTCTGGGATCCCTCAAAAGCCACTTTGTGCAAGGTGCGAGGCCACGCGCTCCCAGTCAGAGTAGACATCCAAGGAGTCCAGGCTGCTGTCGGAGCTGCTGGGGCTAGCGCTTCCTGACATGTTTCAAGACTTGCTTGAAGCATGCTTTGCAAACCTGAGGGGGCGCGTTCGGTTGAATGCTCTGCCGCTCAGCCAAACCAAACCTAACCAGGCCAGAGGAGCTTGACCTGGCCCCATCAGGTCCTTAACAAGACGCCCATGCGAGAGAGAGAGAGAGAGAGAGACTGAGCTAACAAGATCTCGCAGAGCCGTGCCCGTCCCAAACCCCTCCTGAGATCTGTCCGGGCAGGTGCGGGGTGCTGATCGAGAAGACCTCCTACATGAGCAGATTGGGTTGACACAGTGAATGTACTGAGTACTGTAAGCTACGTCGCAATCATTAGGGGTCGTACTTCTATATACTGATATACTTCAGCTACTTGCGAGCTGCAAGGGGCAAGGCGGTTGCACGACATCGCAAGACCACAGCCTGCCTTGTCAAGTCCGCGCGGAGTGCCTCGTGCAGCTCGAACTCGCTCAGACAAAGGAAGTCTTGGCACGAAAGGCGTTTGCTTGGCTTGCTTCGGCGTCGTCTGCCAGGCGCATGCGCCAGTGCGAGGGGTGAGCAAGGGATGGTTTTCAGGAGGGGCTGGCAGGGGCGGAACTTCCATGTTGGAGCCAGGCCAACACATGCGGCCACTTGTCTGTGAGCGCGCAGAGCGTGCGGATCCATGATCCGAACGTTCTGACATGGCCAAGTTCTTGACTTGTCGGGCCTTGCCCAAAGCTAGCTTGGGGACAAAAGCATTGCGATAAGAAGTCCAAGAACTCCAAGAACTCCTCTCCCTGTCGGTTTGATTGCCATTCACGTGTTGACTGACGTGACCATGGTGAGAATGGAAGCTGTCAATGCTCGCTTGGTGTCCGCACCACAACGATGTACTCAACTCGCCCTTCAACGCAGTCCAACAAGGAGCTGCCACGAACTCCTGCCGCTCCAGCCGTTGAACTTTGGACATTTTGGCCACCGCTGGGCTCAGCTCAGTCGACGGAGGAACCTCTGCAGCAAAATCAGCCGTAGCTATGATTGATTCCTGAACGTCCTGAAATGCTGTCTGCTCCAAAAAGTCGCCCTCACCACCGGTCATCTTTGTCACTTCACGCTCTTTGCGATTCTTCTGGTACCCTGCGCCGCCAAATCCCTTCCGCGAAGACAAAGCAGTGTACTCAGTCACATCTTCTTTGCAAGCTGCATCTGCACGCGCGTCCGCAGGCGTTATCTCCGATAGTTTGTCTGGACGATCACTCTGGGAGACACTGAACTTTGGTCCGCATGCTTGTGGCGCAAGGCTTCCCGGACACGTGTTGGACTTCTCACTATCGAATGCAGGATCTTTGCACTCGACGGTGTCATTGTCAGAGTGCGTGACTTGTCGGACTTGTTGATTGTCTTTGCATTGAGTGCTCCTCAGGCTTGCATGCCTTGCGGCCTCTTGCATGGCGTCCGGGGTGGCAGAGCGTGAGTCAAAGGCACATCGGAAGGCATCCATTGGCAGTCTCATTGATGCGCCTCTCTTATGCCATTCTGGATCCGCTTCTTCCCACTCGGTCTGCGTGGACGCTTCGAACTTCACAACCGCACCTCAAGAATCTCAAGCACGCGGATATTTCCAATCGACACATGTACTATCATGTACAATCCTGCCATTCTTAACCTGATGGACACGGCGGGCATCGCCACCGCACTTTAACAAGGCGAGGTGTATACAGTAGGGCTCCAACTTTGCACGACTGGATGCAAAAGGCTCCGCTCAGCAGCAATCCAGTTCTCTTCTTTGGACCTTGGGTGGACACAACGCATGGACCTCATGTCTCGTCGTGCATGCTGTATGTATGCTTGTGCTACTGCGGGCCCCCTCCCCCTTCGCTTCCCCCGTTGCCTTCCCTCGCCCGCTCGCTGGTTCAGAGCATTTTGGAGTTGAGGGCTTAAGGTTGAGGGGTTATGTGGTTTGGGGTCTTAAACGTTTCTAGGAATTGGGGCTCATGGTATTTGGGGTTCAGGACTTTAGGGTTTAGGGGAGAAGGCTTTGGGCTTTGTATAGTAGAGCAGTGGTCAGTCAGCTGCACGCAAGACCGTCCAAGGGCGACTCAAAACGAAGCCAACCAGAGGCGGACGAACCCAACCCTGTGCTTCGGGTTTGTGGAGCTGATACATATGCCTCCTTGGAGCTAGAATTGAAGGACCTGATGAGCGAAAGACTTTGGCTTTATTCTCGACTCTGGATATCTCTGGATTGTCAAGGCTGCATGGCGAAAGACCTGTTGTTGGAAAGAAATCTGGACATGATAGACGCTTCCGACAGAAGGTTGCGTACTCGGCCGGAAGACCTTCTTGTTGATGTTTCTTCTCCATTCCGTGTTGCAAAAGCTGCATAGCAGAACACTTGAACCTGTTGCTGGGGATGTGCTGTGGCGGACCTGAATATGCTTTTGGGAGAAAGCTTGTAAAGTCGGCTGTGGCTGCCTGGCGTCTTGTCTCATTGGGAGGGGTAATGGCCCCCGCCGGCATCACAATTGAGGGTTGAAAGCCTTGAAAGCTTCCGGAAGCTCGTGCAGCGTAAGCTCCTGCAGCGTCTCATCTGATCTTCGGAGAAGCTGGAAGACCATGGACAAATGCGGCCGCCCTTGGCCAGAATCCTCCAGGCCTATTGCTACTGACACTGAGCCAGGCGAACAGATCTCCACAGCTTGGCGACCCATCAGGGATGTGGTCGCAGCGGACACCATGCGGGGAGGGATACCATGCTCGGGTGTGACATAACACCATGTGTGGGGGACGCACAGTGCGCAACTGCATGAACGCACATGTTGCAACGATGTTAACAAATAGCACAACAGGAGATGACATGGCCACATGCAGCTGTCAAAACAGAGCCCGGGTACTTGACGTCATGCAGCCTGCCAACTGTGAATTCTCCAGCTGGGAGTAGACATGCTCAGGCGTGGGCGTCCATGGGTGTTCTTGCCAAAGATTAAAGGCTCGAAGGCGTGTCTCCTCCACAGCTCGCAGCAGAAGTCCTTCCCCAGCACCTGTCAATTCAGGCAGTTTTCGCTTAGAATTGCAATGGCAAACTACGGCAGACTCTGACTTCAAGCACGACCTTCTGTGAGCTTTCCCAGGAAACGAGGCGAGAGCCTTGCAAGGCGCTCACGGAACAGAAGCTTTTGCACTCAGGGAAGCGATCACTTGTAAAATCTTGTAGTCCTCATCTGTACCGTTCCGGATGCCATGCCCTTAGTAAACTCAACACCAACCATGGAAGCAGCAGCCACAGGGCTCGCAGCGGCAGCAGCAGTGTCCTTGCAACCAAAGAGACATCTGAATGAACGAGCCAAGCTGCTGTGGCCGGCCGCGACCACAAATCGTCTCCGCTACTTGAGACCAGCGCACGCACAGCACCGAGTACAATTTCAAAAAACAGCCCCAAATCGTCCAGCATTCGATCCAGACTGCACCTATGCGTGTAGAGCGGTTGAGCGAATGACTTTCGCATCGAGCCTTTGATGCCCGCTCAAGCCTCGAATGTCATAAGGTCAGACAAGCATTCTGATGTCTTGGCCTCCAGTTCGGGCTATGAGGCACACCAAACTCCAAGTCAAGTCTACAAACACTTCAGGTCCGCCACAATATGCGTCCGGACCCCTTGCAACTGTAGTCAGCATCAGCCATCATCTAGCTGGCCGTTGCTTTCCTGTACAGAACCGTGCACATGTGAACACATTGTGTCACGATATGCAGATGCAGAGCCTGCACATATTGCACAATGGGTGCCAACTTTTGTTAGCATGCCATTGCGCTGCAAATAGAGCCACGTAAAAGGTCCTTGTCCAGCAGCATGTGTCACAGCGGAAGCTGCTCAGTGATGCTGCGGCAAAGGACAAGACATGTTTGTTTATTCTCCAGACGCCTATGACCAAGCTTGATGTACCAACCTTGATCGCATCTCCTCTACATCCCGTTGGCCTGCATGATGAAGCTGCAAACTTGAGCTGCTGTCTCTTGAGACCGGATGCGTTGTAGGAAGAAGGCTCACGAGCTCGCCGGGTGAAGCCTCGGCATGGCAGAGCACGAGCACCATACGGCACCGTAGCGCACCTCTTCAGGGTCTGTAATTGGAGCCTTCCTTAAGCGAGACAAAGGGGTGATATGGGCTACAGTAGTCGAGACAACGACCTATGAGTCAAGCCAGGTCAAACCCAACATCACGATTGTTCCATGCTGCCAGCCTGAAAAGCTGGAACCTGAAAGCATCTCCTGACGTTGCCAGGACGGATAACTATTCAAAGCCTGCTGCCAGGTGCTGCTCGTGTGAAATCATAAGACTTATGGACATCCACAAATAGCAAGGGTGACCTCATCGGGAAAGGAAACTAGGATCTGTTGAGCTGCCAGCCGCTTGGATCCCGAAGTCTGCTGGGTTTGGGGACCTGAAATAGAAGTAGAAAGGAATACAGGAATCTACAACGATATCTGGCGTATGCCTGCGTAAACGGCTTGCCGGAGGCTTGTGAGATGTGGGAGCTTGATGAACTGTGTCTGGTGCACCGAGGGTTCGAGAGTTCGTTTCAACCTTCTAGAAGTTTACGTGTGGAAAATCTGGCGTCCACCTTCAATTCACTTTTCAATTCTACTCCACACTTGCTTATCCCTAGCACCAAGCCGGCTAAAGTGTATGCATGTTGGCGCCAGGTTGCTGCCGATTCCTGCATCTGTCCGATCTGTCTCTTTGTTGGTGCATCGGCATCGAAGGATCGAAGATCAAACGGAAGTAGCTGGCAAGGAATGCTGTTCATACACATCCACATGGTGCACCTCTGGACAAAGAATCTTCTCTGTTGGCTTAGAGCTCTACAGTGCTTCTACTGCTATTTGTGCATTCGCTGAGAAACGCGGGCCTTCCCCATTGATGGCAAAGCTCAGCATACTCGGGACACTTCTCCAGATTCACGTCTTCAGCAGAACAAAGAGGCCCAGCAAAGGTCAGGCCCGAGACTTTCATGGCCTCTGCCAGGTCAGTTGATTGCAGCACTCCACTTACGATCTGCGATTGTCATCGCCAAAATGATCTCATACCATGCCTACCGTAGCACTGCTGCGATCAATGATTGGGAGACTTGCGGCTTTAGATACGCCACCAATGGTGCTCGAGCCTTGATTCTTACAGACCTGTGTCCCAGGCGCATCGGCTTTAGGACAGAAGCCATTGAGCATGATTTGCCAGGCCCAGGAATGCAGGATCTGTGAACCGTGTCCCAATATGGTCTGCTCTGGCCTGGCCAAGGGAAACAGATACTCACATCGATGAATCGCAAAGATGATCGCAACTGCCGACAGACTGCTACCAGATCATTGTATTCAGCCGGGTCGCATACCAGCTCCAAACTTGAAGAAGTCCTGCAGCCACTTAACAGGGCAGAAGCAACTGCTCAAAGCGACCATAAAACTGGCCACGACTTATATAATTGTTGAGACAGACTTTTGGAGTGCTATCGCAGATTCTCTCAGAGAACTATGAGTTCATCACTGCCATGCTAGGCTTGACAGCCTGACAGTATTGATCTGCAATGCAAGCTGGACAAAGAAGTGCTTTACTTCTGGATCGCCAAGGGGCGAACATTCGCAGCTCTGCAGGGCCATCCAAGTCCGTCATCTTCTGCCGCACCACCTCCTGATTTTGTACAATGCTGATACATCCAAATTACATCCAAGAGCCCTGCGGTGCGCAGACCTGCCAATGCGCTGGCCATGCACCAGCCTTACGGCTGTCTTGCCAGTACCCGCCAGGGCGCATCAAAGCGCGCAAAGGAAGCACCCAGCTCACCTCCTGCAGCACTCCTTATACAGCATTGAAACACGTCATTCCAGCCATTGTGGCTCCAGTCATTCTTCTCGCTGGGATTTCGCACGCTTCATGCGCATGCTGCTGAGGCTAGCGCAGTCTAGCGCAGTCCCGAACAAATATAGCAGAGGAGCCATGACTTAGTGCCCACAACACAGCCATGACGTTGAGCTCGTCCATGGCAGAAGGGCTTCAACCTCCGGCCAAAAAAAAGTTTTGTAAGGCTGGACGTTCAGGTTGGTTGCGCAGGCATGACATCGCATGACCCCACGAGTCGCTGGGCTTGGGAAACTCAGTTCGGATGGGAAAGGCGTGAAAACTTTGGTTGCAAAACAAACACTCAAAGAATCCGCTAGGAGTCCAAGAGCCCATATACCGGGCCATACCCAACTAATATATATATATATATGCTCACGCCCCCCCCATGATCCACGTTTCTGCTTCGAAACAGATGGATCTTGGGAGGAGAGGGGGCCATGAGCTAGCGACAAAAACACCGACAGGGCCGATAAAGACCTATATCATTTCAAGTCAGGCAGGTCATTTACATCAACAAGGTAGAAAAGCACCCGAAAAAATCATGATTTTTAAGAAAACTCGAGCCGGCTCGAATTTTCCAAAAAGACACAGTAGGTCGCCCAAACGCGAGCAGGCTCGAATTTTCCAAAAAAAACATAAACTGCAGGATCTATGGCTCCAGCAGGCCGCTAGATCCTGAAAGTTCGGTTTGTTTTTGGAAAATTCGAGCCTTCCGAGTTTCTGGGACCTTGAGCTTCAAGAATTTTGGGAAAATTCGAGCCGGCTCGAATTTTCCAAAAAAAACTGACACAGTAGGTCGCCCAAACACGAGCAGGCTCGAATTTTCAAAAACAACACTAAATTTCAAGATCTATGGTTCCAGCAGCCCGCTAGATCCTGAAAGTTAGGTTTTTTTTAGAAAATTCGAGCCTGCTCGAGTTTTCGAGACGTGGTGCTTCAAGAATTTTCGGAAAATTCGAGCCGGCTCGAATTTTCTAAAACATGCTCAAACCATGGCTGTGTGACCCCAAGGCCTCATAGATGACATAATTTAGGTTTTTTTGGGAAAATTCGAGCCTGCTCGAGTTTTCGAGAGCTGGAGCTTCAAGAATTTTAGGAAATTCGATTCGAGCCGGCTCGAATTTTCTAAAAAAATGCTGAAACCATGGCTGTGTGACCCCAAGGCCTCATAGATGACATCATTTAGGTTTTATTGGAAAATTCGCGCCTGCTCGAGTTTTGGTGACCTGGTGCCTCGAGAATTTTCGGAAAATTCGAGCAGGCTCGATTTTTCCCTATATCTCTTGAAATTCTGACTGCGGTAATTGATACAATTAGTAGCATTAGTTACTATTTCTAATTCAATTGTTAAGTTTCCCATATATTTTAACGGCAAATATCTAACTTGTGAGAAGAGGCCACGCAATGGTTTAAATCCAACAGCCGTTTTGTTCTTAAACCCTTGACATTTAACATAAGAACTTCTTTTGTGTAATTTAAACCTTAAACTATCAATGAGGATATCTTCGGGATTAAAAGTTCCCATTATATATAAATAGCATAGATAATTTAATTACATATACATACCTTCAACTTGTATCCAATCAAGTATTTCAAAACTATATGAATTGTCTTTACTATTGTTCTTCTTCCTACCTTTCACCTGCTTAACTGCTTCATTTACTTCATTATTCTCAACTAACTTTCTTATCTCTTCGTAAGCATTTTGTTTAAATTGCTTCTCTATCTTCGATTTTTCTATATGTTCGTATGTTGTTGCTTTCTTATGAAACGCTATGAATTATGAATATTATGTCGATTAGTGCATCAAACCGTTGTTAAAAACTCTTCTTCGGTTATAGGTAGATTTCCTGCTTTGTTTTTAACATTGCCTATATCTTCATAAGGATGATTTTGTAGAGGGTCTAATGTTGATTTCTTTGATGTTATACTTCCTTAATCAAACATACCAACGGGGTCTCCTGCTTTCCGTATTCTTAAATTTGTCCCAGTGTCTTCTGGTCGCTGTCCTGATACAAAAGGAGAACCATAACTACGACTTCTGAATGCATTACCATAATCATTGTTTATTTGTTGTCCCGATGCTGAACCTAAACTATGACTTACAATACCAGAAATGCCAGTTTTTTCTTTCTTTAACCGTCTATTTCAATAAAACCATCTTGTATGAACTTACCTACATCTTTCTAACGCTGAGTCTGTTGCGTCTTGTATAAAGGAAGGTTTCAATCATCATAAACATCTCTACCGCTTTTCGTCCCAGCAATGTATAAAATATAACCATTTTTTGATATATCCCGTCAGGATTCTCATACGCTAATTTAAGTCCTTGCGTGTCCGTTAAGAATGTCTCTGTCTTTGCGAATTCGTTTCTAACTTCACTATGTAGTCTGCTTCTTGTGTTAGGTGCTTTATTTGAAACCCCTTCATCTCTTCTTTTATGTTTATGCATTATACAATGGTTTATAAATCATTTTTATTTAATCAATGAATATTGTTGACTTTGAAGAAGGTGTATATTGAAAGCCATTATAGAGTGAATAACAGAGATTAGCAAACCACACAAAACCAAATCCAGAAACGGATTCTGTTTGTAGATTTCTGTTGTTTAAAAGTGTAGATAATCAATAGCAAGTTGTAGCTTCAGACATGGCAAGACACGAAAGTATCGTAAATACCGGTGTTTTTCACTTCAACAATATGTGTAAGTAAGCACAGGTGCAGAAGGACAAGCAAGAAAAGGATACATATGGATCATGGGGGGGGGGTGACCATATATATATATTATATTATATACAACCAAATGCGGCCAACACTTCAATCATGTAAACTGAACGTTGTCCAGCATCAGCGGGTTTTTGATTGGTTGTTTTGTGGAGATGGACATGAGTGGACTCCGTCCTGTTTTGCACCCGGAGTCTGCTCGGTACAAACACAAACAAATCCTGCAGGTGCTCTCGCGTGCTAGAGTCTGCTAGAGGCGCTCAGCACACACGAAGGCCATCAGACGGGTGAAGGCTTTACTTCCTCAACCACTCATGAGCAGCATCCCAACAGTTCAGCCTCTGAAGAGCGCTCTGCATCTCGGAAGTGAAGCTTCTCACGGCTTCAGCCTCGCTGACCTCGAGCAAGTCCTGTGAATCGTCTTCGGCAAAAGCGGGCTCGCAAGGTAGTGGTATCTGAAACTCAAGCCGATAAAGGTAGCTGGAGTCAGTCTGGAAACAGAAAGAATCTTGAACAGGTTCATGGCGCAGCGGACTGTCCTGACGTGGGCATTCATGTGTCTTGATGTAGTTGCAGATCGTGTACCAGGCAGACACCTTGCCACGCGAGAACAACTTCAAGTGCCAGTTAGATCACCAGTCAGAATCTACGAGCAGCTACAAGCGTCCATTCCCTCAATCCAAAGTCAGCAGATGGGAGGGCAGGGGCTCGGCAGTGGCGTCCCAGAGATAGGGTTATAAAATCAAGACAGGGACCAATCGTTATTCCACACATACAGCGAGTGGTGAGTGCACCTGGACAATCAGCGCGACGTCTGCCTCGGCCCAGCGCTGGTCTGCTTCTACAATGTCGAGGATGAGCGGTGTTGCGTCCTAAGCGGGCAAGTCGTCCCTTGCCATGTGCACTGAAACGATTTTCCTGAGGTTCAGTCCCAGAACCACCAGCAAAAGATGGTGATCCGGAGCACCTTCAGCACTGCCACACTGCATGCCAATGCAACCCGGCACGGGCAAGAGAGAACCTTTGAAGCTTTGTTGGATTTTCTGAGGATTTCTTGCTGCCGACAGACGTCGCCATCATGCTTTGGCAAGTCCGCCCAGTGATTCAGCACATGCTGCTTGCAGTTGTCAGAAGCCCCCATCACTCCATGCCTCTCAATTGCAGCAGATACCTTTGAATCCATCTTTTTACAGTAGCCACTCCAAGAATGATGTGCGCAGAACCCAAGCCTTACAGTTTCATGTTGCTGCCAAGGTGCTTTACCTCCTCACAAGGATTTCCAACGGATGGCAGCGTGCTGTAGTCAAGGATGTGTCCATCTCGAATGAAAACATCGATGACCTAAGGTTCGTAGTTCGTAGCAGGAGCCCAAACATGATGTTAAACTCTTTCTTGGCAGAGTACTACTACGGCCTGGGGTGACTGAGTTCAACTTCACAAGCAAGCACCATTGCAAATCGCAGTGACAGCTTTCCGACCTGTGTCTTTCAGAATGTGTTGCGTGTGCTTTGCACAAACCGTACAACGCACGTAACAGTAACACATTCTGCAACACGGAATGCCATCGACGAGTTGGCAAAACTTGGCAAACGTTGCCTGGAGACTAGCGGTTCGCATCTGAGCCGCTGCGGTGTCTACGACATTCTCAAGAGAAATCTTGAAATATGGAGCGGCTAATCCCTATGTCAATCCGTGCGTTGCAGTGCTGCACTTTTTTGGTAAGTGTCCGTAGAGGTGCTGCTGAACCTTGCGTGCCTTGCCTCTGCTGGCGACTACGAAGCCTGAATCGCTGCCGCAAGGTCTCCGTACTTGCCGCTTTCTTTGCTATAGATGCTACAGGGAGCTTAGATGAGCTCGGCAGTTCCAAAAGGAAGCTACGCCTGTCGATTTAGGATATTTAGGGACAGAAGGGACATGAGGAGACACTTCCTCTTGCGGAGTCTGAGGGTGCTGCGAGCAAGTTGACGAGATGAGTGGGGGCGCAACAACAAAGCAGCAAACCAGCAGCATGTCACACCATGTGTCACCTACTGTGCCGCCATGCTGTTGCCCTTGCGTTCAAGATGTCAGGGCTCGAAGCCGATACAGTACAGGCAGGATGGCTCAGTATGTGGTACTGTCCTCTCGCTCCGGAAACCGGCAGGGCCGCTGACACCCGTTTAAGAATGAGGATTATGAAACCTACAGTATGAATCCGCAGTCGTTTGTGCTGAACTTATGCAGCACTACAAATGCTACCAGGCGGCTGCTCGACCACCAAACCGTCCTGAGCGAATGCGGTTCGTCGACGGAGGTGTCAGCCTTGACAGTTCGACGATGTTCAATGCGCATTTTGCCGAAATCATCTGCGATTGCGCCCTTATCAGTGAAGTCGGGCAACATCATCAGCAGCGTGTGGAACATGAGCAGCACGTTTGATGCACCCTGCCGACGGACTTCATGCGTGCATCATGCAGTCACTCCTAGGCAACAGTAGAATGAGAAGATCCTCATCTAGAAGGCTGGAGGCATGTGGGCACGGGCACTTTAAGACGAGGGGAGCCGAGAGCGACTCGAAGTTGATTTGAAAACAAACTTTCTTTGGGAGACCCCATAAAACTCGAAGACTGTCAACGACTCACTTGCACCTTTCGTTTCCGACTCTGTTCTGATCCCGCCAGAACCAGGCGCACTCGGAGACCTGGTACGTCACTGAGCCTGCCTATTAGATCGGTATCGGCATCGATTCTACTTTCCTACGCAGGGCCTGTAGTACCACCCAGCTTCCTGACCTTGCCGCTGCTGGTATTCAAAAAAAACTACACAAGCCATGAGTCACGGGTTGCATTCCATGCCTGTTCTCTCCTCCGAGTGGCAAACAGGTGGTTGTGGCCTGGGTATCCCACACTTCATAGCGGCAGCCTGCAGGGGTCGACACACACGAGGCTTCAATTTGTCAATCGCAGACATGGAAAAGTCGTGCCTGCCTGCATCAAGCACCCAATGTTTGTTCCAGGCGAGATGTCCTGCAACCTGCTCAGTCCGAAACTGATGATGATGATGTACATTGCCTTCACGTGCTCTGCATTGTTCTGCACTCTGGCAACATGAAAGGCTCCTCTGGGGCCATGCCGCCATTGCAGACAGGACGATCGGAAATTGGAATGGCCCTGAGGGATCACAGCATATCACAGCGAGATCCTGCACACCCGTGCTGTTACTGTGGCTGATTGGACCAAGCCGAGGCACGAGATGGCTGTGGTGGCGGCGACGGTGGTTGTGGTGGGAGCTCTTGCGGTAGTGGTGGTTGTGGTGGTGGTGGTGGTCGTGGCGGTAGTTGTGGTGGCGGTTGTGGTGGTGGTTGTGGTGGTGGTTGTGGTGCTTGTTGTGGTGGTGGTTGTAGTGGTGGTGGTTGTGGTGGCTGTGATTGTAGTGGCGGTGGTTGTAGTGGTGGTGGTTGTAGTCGTGGTGGTTGTGCTGGTGGTGCTACTGCTAGGGGTGGGTGTGCTGCTGCGGGTGCTTGTGGTAGTGCCGATAGCCTGGCTGGTTGTTGTCGGGGGTACATTGCTCACCGGCGTTGTGTCACGGCTTGTGGTGGTAGCTGTGCTGCTCCCAGGCAAGGTGCTCGAAGAAGCTGGCGGAAATGGTCCCGAAGCAAAAAACCACTTCTGGTTGTCGCCGCCATGACACCACCACATGTACACCTCGGGCCGGTGATGGTCTGATGGTCGGACATCGCAGCGTAGTTTGTTTTGTTACATGACTCTGGTCTCCAGTCATGTCGTCCTACATTCGCATCTTCGGAGACACAGCAGGTGAAAGGCCAACGGAAGGTGCACATCAGGCCACGTTCTGGCTGTTGTAGTTGTAGTCCTCAGTCGGAAGGTGTTCGGTCAGCTGGAAGTCCCATCTTACGCTCTATATCCCACAGTTATCCACAGCTGACTGCACGCTTAAAAGCAGCTTGGCTCTGCAATGCCACCAATGCCCTTCAACTTGCACGTGCACTGACTGGAGACGAGGAGAACCCCCCCGTGAGAACCCAGGCACGGTGCTTCAGCCAAAGTGCCAGGCATTTGTCATCCCACATTGTGCTCAACTGTTCTCCACGGAAGAACCTTGCTGGGCAATTTGCACCAAAGCCCCCAAAAAAGCACCGAGATGGACTCCGTCTGAGCGGACTTGGGCCTCGGGCCACTTCTGATTGTCATGCTCGTGGCATGGATACCTCGAACCAGTCACTGCAATGGGATAGGACAAGCAGCCAAGCACGGTGTTCAAGCATGTTTGTGGCAACACATTAGCGGAGAGTGGCATGTGCACGTTGCCATTGAAGTGGTCGTAATCGAGGCACTTGTTGCTGGCCTTAGTGCAGAGATCCTCCTTCCATGTGCGCAGCTCTAGGCAATGGAGTTGAGTGGGAGCATTGCACAGCAGTGGCTCGGCATCTGCTGAATCAGTTAGCATCTATAGCACGATATAGCTGTGCACCTGATCTTCAGGCGCATGTGAACGAACCATTGTGACAGCAAGCCTTCGTGCTGCAAGCAACTTGCAGGAAGGCACTGCCGAACTCAAATCAGAAGCTTGGCGCGCCGCGAGAGACTTTATACGCGAGCCTTCGAAATAGAACATCCTCAGCGGTCAAACGGAAGTATGAAAAGTACGCAAATGGCTTCAACAAGTTACCCCAAACTCGACATTCTGGCCAGCCCAAGCTCGAAAGTAAATCCCACCTTTAGATTTTGGGTTGCTTTTTGCATGGGATCAGTGGCTCCGTGCTGGAAGTGCGTGCGTGACATTTTTCTGAAATGTGCACGCCGGCGACGCCCGAGGTCTGGTGAGGAGATTCTGCCACTTCTGACCCCTCTGTTAGGCTTAATCTCTTCCCCCTAATATTAAACGCGGGGTCCCCGCCCCCAATAGAAACTCGAAATGCGCTTTTATTATTAGGGGGATGTTTCTATCCAAATGTCACGTTTGGGGTCTAAGGGTTTAGGGTCTAGAGAGAGAGAGAGAGAGAGAGAGAGAGGCCAGCTCACGCAGCACAGCTAGGCTCAGACAGAGGCCTGAACCCACCCCTAATTCGGAATAGGTTTGAAAAGGTGAGTTCGGTTTCGGCAGGATTGTCCGGATAGTGTTTATAATTAGGGGGGGGGGGGGGGGGGGGGTATGTAATAAAAGGGGGATGCGATTAGAGATGTCTCGCTGAGATTTCCTAAACAGAGAGAGGAGAGCATCTTGTGGGTGGATGACTGTCAAGATACTGTCAAGCTTGGAACTTAACGCCTGCTTGCGGCTCTTGGTGACAGGGTGTACACTCGCAAGCCCAGGGCCCATCCCCCAGCATGATAGCAAAAGCAGTCCAGTGCATCCAGGTGCTGTCGATCTACTGCCTGGCAGTCGCCCATGTACCTGAAGAGAACATGTCATCGAGCAAGAGGTTTTCAAGTAATCGCTTAGCCTTTTCTCAGTATGCGCTGTCCATCGTTCTGTCCCACCCGGAACCGCCTGCGATCTTGCGATCAAGTGGCGCATTGCCATCCTCCTTTACATCAAGGCAGAGCTGACTGTATCTTGTCTGCAGGTGCGCCGCCTGACCTTGGAAAGCAGGGTGTTCTAACAGCCAGAAAGGGTCGAGATGCTTCAAGTCTGAGGGCACCACGTCCGGTCTGACTGCCAAAGTCTGACATGTGCCAAGCCTGCATTCGAAGACCTACTGCAATGAAGTCAGGCTTGCAGGCTTCAAGCCTTTATCAACTAGAAATCTTTGTTGCCTCCTTGGCAGCGAGGCTCTCTCTGCCCGAGCGGAGCACGCCCGCCTAACAAGTTAACCAGCATCAGCAGACCCGACAGCCGTGCAGCAATGGTATGTGTTTTTTCTGTTGATGGAGTGAGTTGCACATGGCCTGCTGAAGCAGGACGAGTGGAGGAGCTTTGTCCTGCAATGCTCCGACTTCTGACTCTCGATGTTGCAGCATGCTTCTGTCATTTCCGTGCCTTCAGCGTGTCCACAGACTTTGCCAGATATGCCTAAGTGACAGGGATAACTGTACAACCTTGAGAACTACAGTGGTACGAACCACTCTTTCCGGCCTGGGTCAGGACAGGAAAGCCTTCCAGCTGCCAGATCAGCCAGAGAAGCGCACCAGCCATCGGAAAGGAAAGGAAGGAGAGTCGGAGCTTTAAGTATCTCAGTATCTCTATGTCAGTTCGTCCAACCACGATTTTGACGTTGGCAGGCTCACATATTGCATCATGTCTGAAGCTCGAGGCAGCTGGGCACATCATTTGGGCCAATACAGTGTTCCGAGATCTTCCGCCGATCCTGGATGCATCAGCTGTGTATTCAGCGGGTTCTTGTTCAGCATTGCAAGACTGCGCTAGTACTTCTGGCAGATGGGTCGAATGAAGGTCATATGCTCCGGGCAGGCAGTAAACCAGCAAATCCTGCCACAGCGATCACGCACGTCTTTGCACACGCGAATTTGGCTCGTGTCCCTATGGATGCTTGGACGAACTATGCAATCACCAAAAGTGAGCACATCTAGCGACCTCACGGGAAGGACATGTCCAGACGTGCCCTCAAGCGCCAAAACCCTCCGGGGCTTGCTGCTACAGGACCTCCCAGCTTCCCTTCAAAGAGCCGTGGCCAACACATTGCCATTATCAGTATGTGTACGAAACTTTCTCTGTAGTCAGGAGCATCATATCATATGGATGGCTTGAAGGACTCCGGCAGCCTGCAGCGGCCCACTCTTGGTGAGGCTGGAAAGGCTAGTTGTGTTTTGTTGTGTAAAACTCAGCACTCGGATAAATATAAAGATTTCTGGGCACACTCTGCTGGAAAGAAAGGCGGATTAGGCGAAGATGCAACTAGCTGTCAGCCTCAAATACGTTAAAGACCGCCGGAGAAAGGCCAGGTGTACCATGCGAACTCACACCATTTTGGGGAGAGGCCACAGGCATCCTGGCCATAAACACTGAGACGGGTGAGACGCGCACCAGACCACACCCCGAGGTCTGGCTGGCGTGGGCCTAAGGGCCTGAGGATGCTTGCACCATGACGCACCATGTAGCCGCGTAGCCTAATGCCCGCTGATGCTCTGCCCGTCTGTTCTGATGGTTTTTGCTCTTGCATGTCGGCCGAGGAATCCGGAAAGATCCGGAAGTCTTCCAGGAATTTCGGGGCTCTGCGTGCCGTCAGGTTTCTGAGCTGCAGCGGAGCAGTAGTGTGACCATACATCGGTGGCCACACAGCGTCATTCCACCCCACCACGAAAGCTGATTGAAAGGCTGCGATAGGTGCTCCGAACTAGCAGCTTGCGGAAGGCTGGAATGTAAACTGATTGCACCAATGCTGAGCAGCCTGAAAGGCTGTCAGCAGATCCTAGATGTTAGTAACTCTGCAAAACAAGTATGCCACTCACTTAAACACATTGCTTTGTCTGCCTGTCAAAGCCATGCAATGGACTCATGCCCATGCTTGTTGCAGAGTCTAACGCCTCTGGTCATACCTATGCTTGCTTGCATGTCAGCCACTGCTTGCTAGATCATGTGCTACGAGAACTTGCAGACTTTCGATCTGCTTTTGGAAGTCTGCCGGCATACAGACCTTGTCTTAGCACTGAACCTCAACGAACATTCCCGCAGATCATGGGCGTGCATGTGATCACATGCCGCAGATGCCTCGCAATATCTTGGTGTCAAGTACCGCCCCCACCTATACGAAATCCTATACGATTTCTGCTTCATAAGGGCCCAACCCATAGAACGCACAGACGCGTGGCAACAAAGAGGCCTGTTGTCCACTTATAAGCACTGGGCATCATCTTGCTGCCTTCGCCTGGTCATCCGCATAGACTGCGGCGCCGCTACCATCTGCATTCTGATTAATGATTTAATGTACAAGCTCCTGCCTTGGGCGATGGGCAAGGAGAATTCGCGGGGCTCTCCACATTCAAGGTGCCTGCAGCCTTAGCCCATCGGCAGTTGGCGAGACGGACGGTAACTTGGAAGGACTTGCCACCACATCCGGTTGACATTATGTGTTGAGAATTGCTTGTCCCCTCAAATATGCCCCAAAAAAAGGTGATGGCAAGAGCGCCCCTTTCCCGAAACAATAACCGTTTGGGGTCCTGCCGTAAAACAAGGTGGGCTGCGGCCGCGCTGGCCGGCTGTGAGGGAACCTGGGCTCCTTGTGGCTTCCTTCATGGTCAAATGCGCTGATGAATGGGTCGTGCGGCCGGAACATGGGGCCAACGTGGGGCCGGAACCCCTCAGACCCCTCGTGTTCATTAGCCGACTCGTGCCGCAACAGAATATAGCTACTAAGATGGATACTCCACCGGACCGGAACATTGGCGCTGCATGGCTCCTCCATGCGCTCCCTTTGGCTCCTTCATGGCCCCGCTTTCACGGCTCGTTGGATGGCGGGTCGCCGCGGGCTTCAAGTTCTTTCATGCAGCTCGTCGGCTCGTCTCGTAGGTCTCCACAGTACCCACAGTACCCACAAGGCCGGAACTCTGTGGTTCCCCGCGTGGTTTCCTGGCTCCTTCATGGCTCCCGTGCTTGGTGGGTGCGCCGTGGGGTCGAGGCGTGTGGGGCTGTCGCAAGTTCTTTCTTTCATATGTTGGAGCGGAAGGTTCTTCGTAGGAAGCAGAAGAATGAGAAGAACGACTGATGATCGCCCAGCGGACTTCCCTGCTTCCACAGCGAACTTGCACAATCGCAGTCGGGCCAAATCCACACAAACTTGAAACATTCTGAACAGAAAGGTCTGAATCGACTCATTCTGGGGTCTTCGCTGTATTGGAAATAAACATTTCCCTCTCCAATTGAACTCTCCAAAGATGCCACCCGGTTACGACAAGGGCCGGCGAGGAGACGCCACGAGTGAGGCCCGGCAGAGCCAGGTCCTTCTTGGTCGGCACCTCCCAAGCACAAAGAGAGAGAGAGAGGGAGAGACAGAGAGTGAGAGAGAGAGAGAGAGAGAGAGCGAGAGATTGAGAGCACAAAGTGAGCAAAAAGAGAAGAAAGAAGCCACAGCAGAGGATGAGAAAACCGATAATGCCCGTTTGAGAGGTTTAGGATGGTGGAGAGAGCTTTATAGAGTCAGTTTTAGAGTAGGGTTTCTCTCTCTCTCTCTCTCTCTCAAGACTCAGCTTCTGCGCCTTCTGCTTGTCGAGCTTCGGCCTTGCGAAACGAACCGCTCCCGCCCGCAGACCATTCCTCTGCCCTGAACTTCCTGAACCCTCACATCCCTCAAACTTTCCAACCCTCAAACTTGTAGCTCTGGTCATGCTTCATTGCTCGGTTGGAAAGCGCTTGCGCAACAAGCGCGTAGTTGTAGCCGGCACTGTACATCAGTACCGCACACAGAGTGGATGCTACAGCAGCTGTGCAAAACCTCTACTGTGGGACTCGCGGGACTGTTCATGTGTTCAATCTCAGATCGTGGAACTAGCTGGTCTGCTTACCAATTCTAGAAACGTTCGATTTGACGTACTTTTGGGCATGTCTTGCGTTTGTGTAGGTTCGCATGCGCCGGTACCACACGTGAACTTTCCTCACTGTCCGAGATCCGAACGTTTTGGGCACGCGCAGTGAGCCGGGCATTACGGGACCATCCTGGTTGTAGCGCACCTTGGAGCAAGTGGCTGCATGCGATAGATGTGGCAGAGCGATGCACAGCAACGGAGAGAAAACGTCGATTCCTGGTGCTTTAAGTCCACGACGAAAGCCGGCGCTGTGGCCCTCTGAGCCTCCTTGATAAGCACAAGGGCATTCACAGCTTGCCATACATGCAGTCCAAAATCCAAGTGTTGTGCTGAGAGCGCAGAGCAGCTTCGAAAGCTGTTACTGCTACGGGTCCTTTCGTACCTCTTTGCCTCCATGGGTGGTATACCAATCCTTTGCAGCGGGGAACGCGCTCTTGAGCATACAGTCATTACTCTGTTGGAGCGCAGGGCCGGGTTCTGTCCCTGTCTCAGTCATGCCATACAGTATACAGCAAAACCCCGAGAAATCGTGGCGAGGATCAAAGATCTTGTCGAGATGGTTGCATCGGGCCTCAAACACTGAAACGTTGAAGCTTTGCCAAGGACCATGTCAGCAGCTCCATGCATCATACTCTGGGTTGTGTCTTTGGATAACCTACAAGCAATATACAGGTTCTTTGAGGCAGGTCCGAAGATCTTCTCTTAAGCTACCAGCCTGATGAGCAAAGTCCTGATGGCTTCTCAAGCTGAATACACGCAGAATAAGCCAACACATCACAGCACGTGACAGCTCGCAGCTCGCATTTGTCCCTCAGGCGCTCGTCGCCATCCAGCTCCATGTTCAACATCAGGCGCCTCGGCTTCCTAGACATTAAGGGATGCCCTGGGGCCGTTGCCGATGGGTGTGGGGATCAAAAGCCCCGTATGTGTGTCCCAAAGCGCCGGACGCTTCCGAAACTCTGCAAGAAGCCCTTTCACAGCACGAGTGGCTGTGACTCCTGGCCTTAAGATGCCTTGAGTGTGGACATCTGAAAACCCTGAAACAGCCTCCACCCAAGACCACCGGAGCCTCAAAGCCGGCTTGTGTGAGACCGGACATGTTGCATTCACCTACCATTTCTATCTGAGAGTCGGGCCGCAGCGAGTTGTCCATTTTGTTGCGCCACTGCAGTCGCGTATCCGTCTGACTCATCCTGTCTCCCGACGACTTCTTGTAACTTTTGCGCCTCCGTCGAACCCCTTGTAGAAGCTTCCCAGGCCCACATGCACTTGCAGATCTCCATGCAAAAACGGGCTTAAACCTGCTCGTGTCATGCATCGGTGCGGAAAGAAGTCCTCACCACTGCGCCGGGTGACATAGGTGACCTCGATGGAGAAGCCTCCGGATCGCAGGCATGAGAAAGTCAAAACAAAAGCGAGTGGCCACCGTCGGCAACAGCGAACGTTTCGGTTGTTGGGCTGCCAGAGCTCATTGTTTGGACCACAGCAGCGTGCGTCTACTCAGATGTGAAACCATGATACCGATCTTCATGGTAAGTGCTGCAGAACTGCCCACGATTGTCGGAAAGCCACGCGCTTGCCCTTTTGCTCTTGAGGCTTTGAGGGCTTTCATTCACCGGCGCAGCGCTCAGAATTATGTCCTTTCAATTTCTTAAGTCAGAGCTGCCAGAATTGGAGCGAATCGACTAAACTGTGAGCTTTGGAATGGCATGGTCGAAGCGAGCAACCTGTCAAGTACTCCTGGACTCTGTCCCATGTTCAGCTGCGTTTGGTTTCCAAGGCTCTCATGGTGTCTTTGAAGGAGCGCTGCAGCCGAAGCACAGCTGTACTTCGGTCCTATTTGGTTGAACGGCCATCGGTGTAGCGTTGAGCGTGCTCTTCTGATGTGTTCTAATGTTTTACAACAGTGCGTGCAGTGGTGCCCGATCTGGCTGCCTGCCACAGCCTTACTGGAACATTGAAGATTGTTTGTTCCGCCAACTTCTGTGAGCAGGATCCGATGCAGAGTAGCAACAGCCTTAAATCGAAACCATTGCACATGCGCCTCTGAATTCCACGCGTTGTTCCAACACACCTAGATCCACACCTAACCAAAAGTACACTTGGCAAAGTGATTCCTGCAGCTGACAGCTTGGAGTCGGACCTCACCAGAGTCACCTGCAACGCACATGCGGCACATCACCGCGGAGACATGCAACATCTGAGACGAAGTGACGGCAGACGACGGCAGACATGGACAGACACAGAAAGAAAACAACCCATGCCACGGTGACTCTGGTAGCTCGCGGGGAGCTTCTTGTCGCTTCCCACGGCGGGAACATCAGCCTCAAGAGTCTCAGAGCACTCTGAAGACAGAAATATGAAAAGGGTCTCAAAGGGTTCGCCTCGGCCCCATATTCTGCAATGAACAGATATTGATGATCTGGTGGGGGGGCGAGATTAAACTGATTCGGCTCCAACCCGTGACCTCCCTCACTCCCTCTGGAACCTCCAGAGGCAAGCCGCCAGGCAGCTGGCTTTTTTGGGCAGTTCCCACCACCCACACTTGGCAACAAGCCCACGATGGTGCTGCACAGCCTGCTGACACTGCAAGCCTTTCATCAAGCCAAACAGGCTTCAGTCCTGCAAGCCTATAAACTTCCCCCCAAGCTCACTAAAGTTCAAGGCTTCGGGATTACGGGTCGACTGCCATCCCGTGTCTTATTCCTCCACCCCGGCCGCTTTCCGTTTCAGCAACCCGACCCGGCTGCCGAGGCGGCGCGCGCAAGCGTTTGAAACTATGGTTCTCTGTCTCAGGTTGTATGAGCGAAGGCTTCACCATGCTTCACCCAGAACATGGCTAGAGCTGAGGTTGTGAACCACTTCGGTGGCAATGGAGTGCAGCATGCGGTTGACCTCCTCACAACCTCGGGCTCGAACAGGGAGAGTAGGAAAGCGACAGCTGCCACAGGGCACAAAGAGAGCTGCCGGTGAGGGAACCTCTGAAACACGACAATGTAGGCTGCATGCATACAATCCAATACAGAGGTATTCCAGTGAGTGACCATTGCATTCCTGTGAAACTTGTCGGCGTAACTGATGTGTAGTACAAATTGCTGGCTTTGCCGCTCAGACTTTAAACTTGAAACGTTGTGCAGAAGCGAGTAGTTACTTGAGTATGGTGCATGGCTGTTGGTCCTGGGCCTTTTCCTGATTAGCAGCTGTTGATCTGTTTGTAGCCTTGCTGGCGGCGACGAGGCTAGAGAGGCTTTTCTTCTGCACGAAGCTAGGATTTCCGCTTCGGCGTGTACTACAAGTACAAGGTCAGGCAAACGATGTGTTTGCAAACTGAGATTCCATGCACGTCTGCGGCTCCTTGCTCATGCAAATACGGAACTTCATAGTTGGTACCGTGATTGAGCCTGTCATTGCTACGATCTAATGCAGCCATTTTTTCCATCATATTGGCTGTATAGGCTGTTCATCTACAGCCAATGCTAGCATTCGGTGGGGTGCCCTTGCTCGATCATGCTTGGTGCCTACCGGTCAAGCCTCAACGTCTGAGATTCACACCATCTGTTCGGAGAGTCTGTTCCGTCATCGGTCGCGCCATAGGTTCTGCAGCAACAATAGAGCAGGAGTCAGGAGCAAGCCTTCGTAGAGGTTTGAATTTCAAGGTCGATTGAGGGGTGGCTGTTGAAGTTCCGAATCTGCAGGAGGGACCCACAATTTCAGGTCTGCAGAGATGCCTGGCTTCAGACCTTGCGCTTGAAGCACCTTCTCCTGCAGAAGCTTAAGCGTTTGAAAGCAGCTGTGCGAGCACCGCGACCTTGAGAACGTGAAACATAGCAACTGTCTGTGACTCGGTATCTTAGGACCTTAGGAGCTGTTTCCAGTTGGTCTGCAGTGGTGTAGCGCTCCTCCATCTCTTTCGCCAGTCGCGCCTTGGACTCCTCCTCGTGTGTCCTTCACGGCAAGATTCTATATTCTATGTACATGGATGCAGCCAACTTGGCAACCAAATACGCAGGTGCGCGCAAGAGGCAGCAAGAGCAGGCCAAGGCACAGCTTTTTTTCATCGGGCTTCGACCAAACTGCCCTGGGCTCATCTCAGTCGTGTCGGCCATGGTGATTCCGCATCCTCGAATTCACATCAAGCCGTTGACAAAGTTGCTGCATTCACTGATGCCGGTAGCAATGGTATGAGTCTCACACCCTTCCCAAAATTCAAGGACAAGGGTTCTGCGATCGCCAATGACTGGGCTAACCTGGACAAGCGGTTGAGGAGTCGACTGCATCGATGCTTATACTGTGTGCTGTAGTAATTTGGCCGTTCGAACACATTGGGACAGCAGATTCCCTGCGACAGCATGTGTGAGTATGTGCAACAACTTGCTGCATGCAGAGCTCGTCTGGGCTACGGACATTATGCCGCTTCTCAGATACGAACAAGACCTGGCAAAAATAGATCATTCGTAATGCCCCTTCAACTGGATCTTGGATGCCTCGTGGTTGAAACAAAGAAGCAGTGTACCAGGGCTGCTGCTCCATCTCCAGTTCCCATCGCAAGCTCGACTCTTTGAGAACCCACGAAGGTGCTGAAGATGCCGCCCTCAAAGTTGTCTTTCCTCCGCATGAGACAGTCGAACCGTAGCTTGGATCTATCGCGGCTGTGTCAAAGTATCGACTCTCATCGATCTCCACGCATCTCCTACACAAAGCTCTGACGAAGCCTCGATAGAAGGATTGAGACTGTCAGCAAGGAGCCATCATCCTAGGTTCCGCAAGGGTGCACTTCTCGCACCTCTTCGCCAAAAGGAGAACAGGCTGTATCAGTCTGTCGCTCAATGTCACACAATGATCATGCAGACTCCGTGGTCCAACGAATGTAAAGTACACGCTTCTGACAACTCTTGCTGTCCTGAAAACATTGTGAGTTGATCAGTTGGTCACACTTTGACCAAGATTCCCGATGTTCAGGATCCATCACGGAGCCACCGTCTCCGTAGGCATGGTACCTCCGATGGATGCGAAGGTTCAGCAAATGTGGCGGCTACAACTTGACACAGCCGCACGGGCCGCACGTAGCTCAATGTTCCGTTTTGGACTACGCGTGTCGGCATCCACCTCGCTTTGCCACACCGGTACTGACACTTGACTTGATCATATTTTGAAGGCAAAATCGACAGCGCGGAAAAAGAATGAAGGGGCACACCTCGCGCATGTGCCTTGGCAGCTTTTCTTTCCGTCAGCACACGGTGAGCTTGTCCATCTTTATCTGGTGTTTCGTCAGGCGTACGTGGGCTAAAGCTGTGATGCGCACAGAAATGCTCAGGGACGCCGAGCTCGTACAGAGCTTACGGCATGTTGGCGTCGCGTTGGCTTCGACTAAGACCTCATTCCGCATCTCTTGGAAGCTCTAGCTACGCGTATTTCCCATATCGTCGCGCTCCGGTGGCCCTGGGAGGGCTCTGCCAAGACGACTGAGCTGCACGTGGCCCGCAGATTCGTGTCCAACAAATGCGGCCAGCGAGTACTTCTTCTTGGACAGGCGTCGTGACTCAAAACACTGGGCAACGATTCATAGAGCCTCAGTGCGTGTATGAAATCGTCGAGCTGCAAGACTGACCTGCTGGAAGATATGGCGGGAATTGTGCAGATCCTTTTGGCCGGGGTTTCACGAGTCGGTGGCCTAGAATGGCTGCGAGAGATCACTTCTGCCGTAAAGGCACACGTCAAGGGCCACAGAGTTCGGAGATAGCTCGGAGCTTCAAGGCTCAAAAAAGCCAAACTTAAGTAGATTAAGTAGGTGCAACACATATGCCTCTGCAAGGCAGCGGTGAGCGAAAGGTTGCAGAGCCTGCTGTGCACAAAATATAACACAATATCACATACATTATATCCCGCGTTCAAGTCCTTGACACACATATCACACAAAGCACACACAGCTGGCAGGACACTCCATGCTCCGAAGGGCAACAGCGCGTCGCCCAAGCAAGCCCCAGCCTAAGCAAGGGTCGAGGCCGAGGCAACAGCAATTGCACATAATAACTGCAGCACTGTGACAAAATCCTGCAGAACTCAGAAAGCAAAACGTCGCAGGTATCGTACATCTTCTAAATGTCCGATGCGTGACATCCAACCCGCAATCTGGGCAGGCGTTAAAGCAGTTCCTTTCCTTGTGTGTTCCTTGGTCCCATCTGCTTAGTAGCGTTGTATCGCCTCGTGATCAAACCATGGTTATTTGAAGAGGCACCTCAAACCGGTGGGGGGGGGGGGGGGGGGGGAAACGTTTTGCATCTAACGGGACCCTCTAAGCTCTAGACCTACCTCCCCAATCCGACAAGTCCGATACTCAAACATGTGCTGTAGAATGTTGGCTCCCCGCTGGTGAATTTGGATGACCGAGGCGATATTTCGGGTGCTTTGCAGGCCCCTCGTCGAATGCCAAAACGGTGGTGAGTTGTTCGGATGTACTAGCGTCGTGAGTGGCCTTGCGTCCTGAGGTTTTGCAGCTCCAGAATAAACTGTTGACTTTTGGTTCTAGGTTCAACTTGGAGGCATTGTATTTGTGTGTGGTTTGGAAGACAGACCACGAATCACCCTGGAACACGCCGAATTTGCATGGACTGATTCAACAATCGGGTGGGGATGACGGAAGCAGGATTTGCGAGATATGACATACCAAGACGGGAAACCTTGTACCTGGAAAAGAAGGAAGGAATCATCATTAATTTCAATGCGCTTGCAGTTGCTGGCTGGTGTCTGAGCTCAGGACGGCTTGCGTCTTCTGACCTGAACACACGACCACCTCATGTGACGTCGCGTCATGTGTCACCTTTGTGCTGCACCATCATTCCTCCACTTGAGGAGGTCTGTTCGTACATACTATACATGCAGCACCATGTATGATGTCGTGCCTTATGCGTGCGGAAACCGTTTCCTCGAGCGTTTGCAAGAAGGTGCGCTCGTCGCTGCTGAGCTGCGCGGTGGCCTGTCACTTATATGCGACGAAGGCGGCACCCATTGGCAACCGGTGGTGGCGTGTTGCAATCGTCATGCAAATGTCATTGCAATATGCGTTGCACCTCGTCACTGTGCAGATACAGCACACGATGCTGACCCAGGCGGTGGAGGGCTGCCTCCGCAGCTTTGTGGAAGCTGACCTCTCGGCTCTGGACCCAGACATGTCGAAAACATGTCATCTCGGTTGACAGTTAGAAGCATGCGGCAACAGCTGCACGACTCCTCAGAGTGAGCGAAGAGGTCAATGGAGTCAGTGGTCTCATCCTCTGACTCCAACAGCTTAGAACCGAGGGCATCCAGGAGATCCACTTGCTCCTGCCATGGTACCATCACGGTGCCTGCTTACACCGTCTTGAGCCTTAGGCCTTAGGCCCACAGCCCCGCAACATGCCGCAAGGGCTCAGTACATATTTTTCCAAGAAGGTGTTGGTTCAATATGGGCCACTCGTCCAAGGCCAACTGAAGTCCTCTGTGAGGACGTTCGACAGCGCAGCCGCTTGTGTGGCCTCAGCCTCTGCCCGTGTCAGCTGAAGCGGCGGCAGGCTCTCAGACCAAGTGGAGACGTCCTCCGAGGCCATTGACATCGTTGGAAAACACGCGCAGCTCTTGACAAGCCCAGTCCTGCCCAAACGGGGGCACCACAAAGACGCCCCAACCTCAACACAAGCAACGCCACACATCCAGCACCTCACAACACGAGCTTCGTGGGACATTGTGGCAGTGCAGCAAACTCAGAGACACGCTCAACAGGAAGCCCGATTCACCGATTCTTACACAGTTTGCGCTGTGCAGCACAAGCTGCGCTCCAAGTCCCGGCAGACCGGCCATTCCAGCTCATTCGCATTCGCGAAAAGTGCCTGTACCATCAATTCAGAACCACTATGGCAACTGTAGCTATGGCCCTCTCTGTTGGAAGCAGCTTGGGTTCTCGCTCTGTCCTTTTAGGCTCGGACATGTCATCAGAATCTGCGTTTAGCTGCTTTCCGAGAGGCGTCTGGCTCGTTGAAGTCAACTGCGGAGTCCAGGGACCTCATATTACTCGCAGTTGCTTTCTCACAATCCCTCTTGCGTGAGACACACTCACACTCACCCTCACACTCACCCTCACACATACCTACACCTACGCCCAGGGCCTACGCCTGCCCTGCGCCTACGCCTGCGCCGACACCTACTACAGGCACACACGCACACATACATACATTCATTTTTACAAACAGACAAGCAGATAGACAAACCATGACAAACACATAATGAGAGCTGCATAGCAGGTTTGGCGCCGACGGTTGGGTTATTCATGTTGGCACAGGTTTCAGCCGATTGCGGAGCTGCAACGGGTGCCTGAAGGGTGCATGCGAACTGCGAACCATGGAAGCTCTTCTGTGCAGATTGTCATGCTGCTTCTGTTGCCAGGCCTTCTAAGCTCAACAGCGCATGTTGCAATTCTGCTCCAAGTCTAGGCTTCCGCCCAGACTTCATGTTTCCACTTTCTGTCCGGAACATGACCCGCATGTCGCGGTGGAGGTGTGTGGAGAGGAACAGGACGTCTAATGTTCACGTACAGTGAACGGGCACATGCAATGATTCAATAATCTTTCTCCGAGAAGTCTCTTAAACACAGGAGACTGTACAACTGTTCAAATCGCCTGCGCACGATCCTGTTTTTGCTGTTTCCTGAATGCGCATACAGCTGGTGTTGCCCACAAGTATGCAGCTGGCAAGCTGTGCTGCATCCACGTGGGTCCCCTCCGAAGAGGCCATTGTGTCAGATGTGACAAATCTCTCCTCTCTTGACGAGGGGCTCCACACATGTCACCAACCGCAGCTGTCTGGAAGAGCCTTCCCGCCACTCCTGCAAGAACTGCAAAGGGCTTGATGGCTTGACCGCTTGGGCGTCACTCACATGACTGTCCCAGTCCTCATGCAACCACTTGGACAGTCTGACCAGGCCATGCGCAGTCAGAAACACCTGGCATTTTCAGACATCCGTGTCTTTGGCGCGACTGCAAGATGGACAAGTGCTAATAATTATGCAAGCTTTTGCTGCTTTTGTTTCTTCCACAGAGCTGGACTTCGATCCCTCCCTGCACAGTAACTAGACCTAGTAGAGAAGGCGAGGGCTCGGGTTGCTACACATTTGGTGGCTCCCGTGCCTGGGAAACCTCCACAGCACCTTTCTGCAAGGTTATGCTCCCGGCAGCCCCCATTGTGCCAAGTTGTGCCAAGTTGTAGTGAGATTTATCATTTTTACTTTTTGTGAGCTCACTTGGGGAATCCAACTGAACTGCTCACCATTGAAAAGAGCTGTCTGGAAAAAACTTGAATAAGTCTCTCGAGTCTCCATCGTGTTTGGACTTCAGCGACTGACTCATGAACCTCGAGTCAAGGACTTCCTCAGCTGTGATAGCAAGTAAGAACCTGTTGCAGCTTCGCACAGTGATGGGGCACTTCTCTCATTCCTAGATCTGGACGAGATTCCTCGATGGAAGCGAGGGCGAGGACAAGGCCGCAATGAAAAACAAGGAGCACCACTGCCATGAATGCGCATGTGCACAAGTGCGTCAGGAGCACCAACGCACACGTCGCCGCAGGAAGGTCTCGCAGCTCCTGTAGCTGAAACAAACATTGAAAAGGGTGACCACCAGCCTAAGCCGTCCCTTTGGTCGAAAGTCCTCATTCTCGTGGCAGTGTGCGCTGAGCGTGCCCTGGGAAATGCCACTTGCCGGTACAAGAGCTATGTCTAGACGGTCTAGAAACTGTGATATCTGCGACCATCGAGGGCTTCCACTTCAAATCCTAGCTTACGATCAGCACAGCTCGCATACAGCAGCATTTAAGAGTATGGCTTGTAATTCTTTTTTAACCATATGACCGTATGTCTCCACAGGAGGCCGGAGTACCTATTGTCTTACAAGGAGTTTCGAAAACTGACCGAATTCGAAAGACGGCACGCAGACTGTGGAAGATGTATGCCGACTGCCGGATATGCTGCATTGAGTCAGGAAGATATCGGAGTTAAGTACAACAAAGGTACTTAAGACAAGGAAAGACGCACAACGGGCACGCCTATTTTCCTTGAGCCAAAATACAATCAGTCATCCGAATCTGCTCTCCTAACCCTACTTGGTATGTACAGCTAAACGGTGGTTTGGGGCCAGTTTAGTTAACTCCCCCCTTTAGGAGACAGAACGGTGAGACTGGACTAGCAGATTGAGGGCAGGTTGAAACCTGCGCTCAGTAGTGTTGCGCGGTCTGAAGGACTCAAGCGCTCGGCATTTCTGATCAGGAATGCTATGGCAACGATTCGTTCTGAAGCCTCACATCCTGTCAGGACTGTGCAGTGGCGTGCTCTGGGATTGAAGAGTGCAGGGTTACACAACATGTGACCCCATAGGCTGTCGTCGTTTGGACATTGGACAGTCCCTTCCTCATCTTCTACCCACAATATGGGTCCACTTGTTGGATTTAACGCTACAAGGAGGTTCTTTGAGCCTTCTGCATTGTTGGAGTCTCGGTGGAGCCCCGCGACTACACCTTGCTGCACGATTATGCTTGAGAACTTGTGTGATGGCATATAACGTCGAAAGAATCGACATATCAACGCCGTTGCATATTGAAATTTGTGTGTGTTTGTCTGCAGGCCAAACACTCCTCCTAAGACAAATGCGCCCGCAGAAAATACATGCGAGTCGTGCCCCGGTGCCCCCCTCTTATCAGGACCATGAGGTAACAGCGTCAGTAGCTGCACCAGATGCTGACAAGTCGGGACCTTTGGGCAACTGCCTGCGAAGACTTCTGCGGCAAGATTTGCCTCTGCAAGTGCGGCGACGGCAATTTCCAGGTGGGGTCCATCGCTGGATGCTGTCAAGCCAAACTGTGCGAGAGTATGTGGCCATTCTGCAGGTGGAATGACTTTTGTTAGGCCATTAGCTATCTGAGATTCGCTCTTGCAGTACACGGCAGTGACTTGTGGCGACTCTAGCTGTTCAGACATTGATGCAATGTTGACCCTGTGGACTCGATTGCAGTGTCTCAGCTTCGCCGAATAGCCTGTAGCCAGGACTTTGAGCAAGGTCTCGTTGTCTTGATGGAATACGACGTCGATAGCACGACCGAGGAGATGCTCCATCATGACCTGAATGTTCAAGGCCTCACCAAACATGGCGGAAGCCATTGCTATGGCCTCAGCCTCGGGAGTGCTTCTTGCAACACTCGTCTGTTTCTTAGATGCCCACCACAGCGGAAAGCGGAAATCTGTTGACCCTATAGTCATGTAGATCCCGCTCGTCGATTTTGCACTATGCGGACAAGAGGCGAAATCACTGTCAGTGAAGATGTGGATCTGGGGAGCTTCGTGATGGTTCACAGTAGCAGCTAAACATAAGCCTGTTGTACCGTGAAGATAAGAAATCAGGCGAAGTAACTGCTTGTCTTCCCATTTAGTCCACGCGGCCACTCGTGACGCTAACCGACCGATTATGAAACACAGATCAGGGCGAGCCAACCGACCCAGCCAAAGTGCTTTCATAAGTACCTTTGCAGCTACATGGCTCAGTGTGCCGGGTTGCTGCAGGTCCTCATCTGACAATAACGCCTCGGACAAACTTGGGGTTGTGACGTTACGGAGCTTTGCCTTTGGGACATCAGCAAGCTCGCAGTACGCCTCGACGACCTGCTCTGCGAAAGCAGACATATCAAGCACAAGAGTTGTGAAGTCACTGCCTCGTTGGATTCGGTGACCTCTGCCAAGGATCCGTGCATTCGAGGCTTCGATGTAACATTCGTCTTCCAGCTTGATATGCGCTCTCAGCCTTTTCCAAAACTGTGCATGAAGATGCTTTGCTCCCGACAACGTTAGGTCATCTACATACACGTTAAGTAGCAGGGTATGGGAACCCATTTGAAAGATGAAGTTTGAAGGAAACAAATCCATCTCAATGCCACCAAAGGAAGTGAGAACAGAGGCTAGGTGTTTCTGCCATAGTTTGCCAGCAAGCGGATGGCCATATAAGCTTCGCTTCAACCTTACCACCAACTTCGACCCTGATGGGTACGCTTTGTGCCATGTGTCCAACCACAGCTCCTCGGGGAGGATAACCCATGTGTCGGGCTCTCCTGCCTCAGCGAGGTCAGCTTGAAGAAACGCCTGAATGGCATCTGCAAGGCTCACTGCGTTTCCATCTTGGCAGCCGAAAAACAATGCGATGTTAAGGGCAACCAAGGAAGTTGGTGTGGTAGCCACGTCTTCAAAAAGAACATGGTTTCCGAACTGGTCAAAAATGCAGTCCCCCCTGTACACGATTCTCCCTTTGAACTTGTGTTCATGCTCAGGGAGTTCGAAATGTTTTATCCCACATAATGTGAGAAGCTCTGCAATTTTGAGTTTACGGTTTTGCCGTTTTGCATCGGCACGCAAGGAAGACAAAAGACAGACTGTCAAATCATCCCACGTTCCGTTAGAACGTAACCCTTCTGCCTCCTTCTTCACGGCTGCAACTCCGCGCGGGTCTGCTTTCCATTCCCGCTTTGTTAAGTTCTTCGTGACCATGGAGGGGATGTGGCGATGGTAGCGTTGCGGATACCACGCTTCGACGATGTTGTGAGCGAGCTCTCGTGGGTATGCTTCAGTCTGCTTTGTTTGTGAGCCTTCGGCGGCCTCGTGCTGGTGGCTACCGTCACATTGCAGTTGTCCAAGAAATTGAACAAGTCGCAGATCATTAGTGGCTACGCTCCAGGGCTTGCGGATTGGATGCTCTCGGCCCTTCACTCCAGCCATGCAGCCATCAAAAGACACTTTGTGTAGACCATGTTCATCCTGAAATTCTTTCCATTCAGGGAGATCCCACCAGCCGGACCCTTTGGGCCACTCGACTGCGATCCTTCCATGATTTGCGATGGCAGTTGCGAGTACCTTGCGGGCATACAAGAACATAAGCTTGCTCTTCTCTTGGCGATTCCGAAGACCCTTTCCGTACTTCGCCCCATGCCTATGGACGTTCATGTTCTGCCACGGACTGAACTCGGTGCACGGCAATGAGAGCCACACATCACAACCTGGCGATGCTTCGACCTGACCTTGAACTTGTTTGACATGTTCTTCGTTGGACAAATCAATCATGCTTCGGCATAAGCGGATACTGTTGATGCCAATTTCGGACGCAGCTTGCGAAAGCTCTGAACTGTCGCCACACGCATATTCGAACAACACATCCTTGCCTATGAGCGTTTGCACCTTTCTTTGGCGGACTCTTTCCCTGTTGACATCGACAAAGACTTGCGTCACACCGAGCTCGACCTTCGCAACAAGACCTTCTACAGCGGGCTCACTCGAAGGGTGGAGACCAACGCCTTCGGGGAGCTCAGCTGGAGGAACTGGCTCAGGGGGCTTGGACGTCAACGCAATCCTATCAGCCTTTATCAGGGCATCGAATCTTGCTCGGCATTTAGGACTATGCTTCACGGAATCGAAAGTGCACGCTTTGCATCCTGGTGTGGCACCGAACTTAAGAATGCGTTCAAGCGTAATGTACTCTGCGCGCCTTCGAGGAGGATCAGCAGGGGACAGTGAGCTGAATGGTATGTCCAGCGCTGTGATAGCCTCAAGTTTGGGATCCTGGAACTCGCGAAGAGCAAGATCCGCCGCGGCCTTTAGCGGGAAGGTCTCAGTCTCTGGGACATGCACTTCCGCATATGGCACGGGGATCATGTCCCTATACCCAATCGACTTGGACTTGACGGCTTCATAGTCTAGCACCCAGATCACGTCACGATACACAAATCCGTGCTCAAACCTCCAACCTGCAAATAGTCCGGGAGCAGTTGTAGCTTCGAACTTATGCCTGCGGCTGGGGTCATGGATCCTGTAATGCACCAACTGTCCCAAGGGAAGCCTTGGGCCTTCGAATGGGGAACCAGTTGCAACCTCGAAACGCGACTTGTCTTTGCCCTGCCACGGTACAACTGTCAAAGTCTGCGCGGCAAACTGCACGGACACATGCCACAGATCTGGAACCACATGGAACCCAGCAGCCAAATGCACCGCGCGAGTCGATTCCTCGAGAGTTCTTATCTCTCTCTCAAGTTGGGCGTTGTGTGGAAATCTGTTTTCTAGGGTCGCTTCATGCACCCATCCTATTTGTGAGACGGCAGCTATTAACTCCTTTGCATCATCAGCCTTACACAACACGTTCGGGAGGTGCTTGTATCGGGCGCCTACAAAGGTAAGGAGGTTCTGAGCTGCTCTCTCAGCTGTGCGCGCACAGACAAAAGCTCGCAGTGCACCACTATATTCATCCCTGATGACATGGACTGCATGCTCACGCTTCGAAGGGATTATATAGTCTGTTGCAATCCTCTCGCCAAACTGTTCAACAGGAGGCAAGTCACCTCTGTCTTCGAGAGGCTCTGCACGCTTCTTGGTGACTCTTTGTCGATACATGCGGCTTCGCTGACATATCTCACAGTAGGGATTCTTAGGGATATGCGTCAACTTGTGTGCCATTGAAGAGGCCTCCTTGATGAGTTGCTTCTGACGTTCTGATGTCACGTCCTCTCCTGAGTCCGACCCAGAACCTGGCGGAATGGCAGGTGGAGGAAGTGGAGGTGGCGGGACCTCGGGTTCTACTGGAGCAGGAGGTTCCGGAGCCTTCGCTGCTTCAGCAGGTTTAGGAGCTTTTGCACCTTTGACCTTGTCCTTTGGACTTGG